TGGCTCATGGTTTGTAGAGCTTTCTGTCCAGAGTTGGCTGCTTCAGGGCAGGTGGCAGGGCAGGGGGCATCGCAGAGGAGAAAGGGTCCATGGTGGGCGGAAGGCGGGGGGGGGGTAGCAAAGTGATCCCCGAGCAGCACATGACCATGGCAATGGTCCTTTTTCTGTCCTTTATATTTTATCTGGGCTTCTCATGCACGGGGCAGATAAAGCGTCCACACCCGGGGTGGGCCTTCCCGTCACCCACACCCAGAACTATGCTGACCAGTGGCTCTCTCGGTCCCAGCATCACACTGTATGCCCCACCCCCTCTAAAATCCCCACCCGTGACCACATGAGGCCTTGGGGGGACATCTGGATATAGGCCATACCACACCCTAACATCCACTGTGTACTACAGCAGTGACACCATCCAGGTCTGCCTGCCTGCCTGCCTGCCTGCCTGCCTGCCTGCCTGCCTGCCTGCCTGCCTTCCTTCCTTCCTTCCTTCCTTCCTTCCTTCCTTCCTTCCTTCCTTCCTTCCTCTCTCTTGCTGCCTCTCTCTTTTGCTTTTGTGCTTTCTGTTTCTCCTTTTTCTTTTCCTCCCTCTTTCCTTTTTTCTTCTTCCTGTCTTTCTCCCTCTCTCCCTTCCCACTTCCTTCCTTCCCCCTTGCTCTTTTTCCTTCTCCCCTCTTCTACCTTTCTTCATCTCCCTTCCTTCCTCTCTCACTCTTACTTTCTTTTTCTCTTTCTCTCTCCCCCATCTCCCCCCACCCCATTTAGGATCACATACCACATATTGAGCTCCATTAAGGGTCTTGGGTTAGCGGTGGCCCAGGCATCCCTGTGCTTCTCAGAACCAGGCCCTCTCCATAGGACACATTATGCCCTCAGAAGCAGTCTTTCCTGCATACCCCTCATCCTCTAAGAGCCACATTGTACCTCAGCATTTCGGTGCTGTAGGAGGATGATCCAGTGAGCCACATTCCTTGGGCTGGCCCTGCCACCTCTCTTACCACCTGCCCCCTGCCGTGTCTTCAGCAGTGCCACCCCTCATATGCTTGTCCCAAGTGGCAAGACTTTGTGCAGGCATTTTGCTGCTTGGCCCAGATCACCAGGCGTGTGTGTGTGTGTGTGTGTGTGTGTGTG